AGCAATGCTGGCAGCAACAGAATGCTAACTTTACCTAAATGGAACTAAATGTGATTTATACCTAAAAGCTCTACCATTTTAAAAGGTGGCAGACATGACACTCCATACACAAAATCTAGGTAGAAAACCCTGCAAGACAAAATGCTCTGGCAAAAAAAATCCGTATCTTTAGTTAAAAATATAAAAGCAAAGAACAAGAAGGGGAAATGTATATTTGCAAACTTTGCATGGAAATATCCCTTCAGTCCATCTGTTCAGTGTTTTCACTATCTGTCCGCATATCCAAGAAAAAACAGCATAAACACCCCAGAACTCAGACTTGGAGATTTTACTGTCTTGCAACTAATACCAGTTGAAGAAATTACAGTCACTACCCTGAAGGGCAGTGTTTTGGAACGAATATAAGGAAGGAGGGCCACGAAGATGATCAGAGGGCTGGAACACCTCCCCTGAGAGGACAGGCTGCGAGAGACGGGGTTGTTCAGCCTGGAGAAGGCTCCACGGAGACCTTATAGCGGCCTTCCAGTACCTGAAGGGGGCTACAGGAGAAATTAGCGGAGGGGGAGACATGGACAACTTCTTACAAGGGCATGCAATGACAGGACGAGGGGTAATGGATTTAAACCAGAAGAGAGGAGACTTAGGAAGAAATTCTTCACTGTGAGGATGGAGAGACACTGGCCCAGGTTGCCCAGAGAAGCTGTGGATGCCCCATCCCTGGAAGGGTTCAAGGCCAGGCTGGATGAGGCTTTGGGCAACCTGGGCTAGTGGGAGGTGTCCCTGCCCATGGCAGGGGGTTGGAACTAGATGATCTTTAATGTCCCTTCCAACCCAAACTATTCTGTGATTCTACGATTCTATTCCCTCAAGCCAACGCTTGCTCTAAAGCTGCCACCTTTTCCTCTACTGATGTTCTACCACAATGCATCTTAGCAGTTAAAAGCACACATCTTCTGAGGCAGATGGAAAACTGGGGGATAAATCAGGGATAAGCATCAGCTACGTGGAGACCATAATGCTACAAATATTTACTGGCAAAGTGGTCTGTATATAGCAGAAGAAATTGTTTCCACTTGTTCTGAATGTGAAGGGTAATATAAAAAAACCAAAAAACACCAAAACAAACACCACAGATCAGCAATAGCTCAAGAAGTACCATATGGCCATCCAGCTTAAATATGGAGCTTGGAGAAAAAAACCTAGATCCCAATCACCTAGATTATCACTACTTTTTGTGACAGAAAAGAATCCTTATGTCTTTGAGAGAGATGTACCAAGCCAGTTCTTCTTCTTCATTTCTAAAACATTTTCCTTTCTACTTGAAGCAAACCTTCAGTAACTTCTTGAAGACATGCTCTGCACCACCTCCCCCCTCCAATTTTATACCATCATGTAACTATGGAGCTAAAACTGGAATCCTACCTACAGTTAGAGAGCAGGTCAAATTAAAGGGGAGGTAAAAAAACTGTATGAAACTGAGCAGTAGGCCAAGCTTGCAGAGTACGGGTAGGCTGCCTAGAATCTTAGTAAAAAAAACCCTGAGGGTCACAGATACATCAGTGTCAAGAAAGGGAAAGAAACAATCAGTCATGCCGTTAGTTAATATTGATAAAGAACCCAAGAGCTACTGCTGCAGAATTTTGGTGAAATTTCCATTCGAAAGGTTCCTGTCCCTGGGGATAAAAGGAACTGCTGTTGCAGATTTAAAGCGGTGTTTAGAAAGCTTCATCATTGACTAGTTTTTTGCGTTCATTTGAAGGCAAGGCTCACCAGTTTTTGTCAATTTTTGTTTCATCTTTAAAGTCACCATCATACAACTAGCACTAAGTTCTTAAATTCTTCCACATAGCTACAAGGGGCAAGTAATCATAGTGGCCTGTCTTTGAGAGGTCCAGTTACACATGCAAATACAGCAAGGGAGTGTATCCATACTATGCATACATAGCCTCACAGACATACCGCAGGCATCGGTCGTGTCTCCCACAGATTAGTAGTAGAACCCTCTACTGTTCTCCTAGAAAGCAACCAAAAGCCACATTCAGAAGAGCCTTAAAGGGCTTTGTCACAGTCCCCTGTTAGGACTCGGGGAATTTAAATGTAATATTCTAAAAATGCAATGGTAGATGTCAATACTTATTTTAACTATAAGGTTGAACTACCACATCTTACAACACTTTGAAGTACTTCCATTTTTGACATACTGTAATCACCTACTCAGCTGAATCTGTATGCCCGGCTCCATTAATCCCCTATTCAACATAACCCTTCAAGGTATGTCAGCTTGTGCTCTGTATTTCACTAATTAACCGCAATGAAGGTGCTTTTAGTCTCCGCACAGTGGGGTTTTGATAGTTCTCCCTCCTTTCCACAAGTGAAGAGAGTTTCAATGGATCTTCTCACTCTAACACCTTTTTAACCTTGCTCTGACTGATGTCCACCACCGCAGCAGCTCATTTCTGTTTGAGACTCCTGCTTTCTGAAACAGGGGCTATTCACTTGGCTGGCCAACAGAGAATGTTCTAAGTCCTTTACAGCCACAATTTCAGCGAGTATCTAGCGTCCATAATTGTCTGGACCTCTGTTGGCAAACAGAACTGGAGGAAGGACATCACTCCTAAGCGAGGCAGTACTGTACGCTGAGCACTCAAACTGCATGAGTGCTGTTGCTGGAATATGGGAACAAGCAGACAGTCATCTCTGGTCACCTGATGGATGCGAGGCTAGGGAACAGAACAAGCAGCTAAATCACAAGAAGAACCCCACCTTCTTTTGTCTTCCCATCCCAATTACACCCAAAGCCCATCAGAAGAGGCGGCCCCCCCCATACTTCAGCAGGTGATGTTTGCATGCCCATCACCTCTATGAAGCAATGCTCACCCAAAAAGCCCGAGAGCCCACACAACCCTGGTTCACAAAAAACTGCTCCACAACTCTGACAAGAATAGGTCTGGGTTGTGGTTACTGTGAAAGTCTTTACCTCCCAAACCCACTTCTGGAAATGGAGTTGCTTTCTGTGCTGACAGTCTTCACACTGAAAACCTCAACTTGTAATATCTGAGGATCAAAAATGCAAAGATGCAGAGGCAATCATTCTCGCCCCATTTGCCTTGCAATGGCTACTGTTTAAACTTGCTGTCTTCTATCTGGGGAAAAGGTTTAACTGTAACACTTCAAATACATTAGGGGAACACAGCAACACCTCCAGCATGGAGCAGACCAAAATGGTAACTCCAAAATATGCTGAATGAGGGGGACTACGTAGGCTTGCTGCTGGTTTTATCCGAAAGCATTGTCACATTCAGTACAGCAGCAACAAAGAATGGAACAATGAAATCAAAAGTCATTAGTGCTTGATGAAATTATTTCTCAATTCAAATAATTTTCTTTTGAAGCAATTCTTTTTTAATCAAGATATGGTATACCTTGTTGTTAAGATGGGTTTGCAAGATTTTCCTTTTCTCTACAGGCAGAGGGATACAAAAAAAAGCCCAGCACATTACACGTGTGACTCATGAAGACTATACCCTACATTATGATTTTTTTTTTTTTTAAAAAAAAGGACCTCTAACTAGATATTAGGAAACTAGTACCCCTGCAAGGGATACCATTTGTGTGGAACACCATACAGCAAGGTATTCCAATCTTTAATCAGTTCTCACTGTGCTGTATAACTTTAATCAAACAGCCCAGCCCTTTTTAGCAGAAGTGTTTCAATGCCCAATGCAAAAGAAGTGTCACTCTTGGGGTCTCAGGGAGCTCAAATTTACTATTTCTGGTCAGCAAATACAATAAAGAATTTGCCAAGTAGTAGGAAGCCATAGCATAATCTGTGCTACCTAATACTGTAGAGCTATCTTTCAAAAAGATACTGAGTTTGCTGACTATTCAGGCAACAACTTGAACTAGTTTCCACCATGTTGTAAGTTTTCTACTCTCTGACAATCTGTTTAGTCTTATTCCGATTTTTCAAAGAGGCAAGAAAACTGGGCTGTTTGAGTACAATTAACGCATTCAAACTATGTTAACATTCCTGTTGGATCTTCAGATGGCCATACCCAAGATCTTAGGAAAAACCTTGTACCACTAAAAGGTGCAAAGACTGCTCTATTAAATTACCAAGATTCATTTCTGGGATGCTTCATTCTAAAGGGTCCTCTACCTTAAGTAGAAAATCAGCATATATTGAATCCCTTATTTAGGGTAACTGTTCTCTTTCATATTTAACATTTAAAAAAATAAATCAGTTCCCTCGTTGAGAAAAGAATATCTAGAATGAGTGCCCCAATTTTGTAGGTTTGTGGGTTTTTCTTAAAAACAAATTAAAAATCAACTTTAAATATAGATGTTCTAAAATCATGCCGTTTGACATTGTCATGGTTTTAAGTAGTGTGCATAACCTTGATCACCTCTGCTCTCCAGGACTAAATAAGTTATTGGGTTCTCCTATATTCATTCTCTATAATATACTCTAGGATTTGGTTTTGGGTTTTTTTTCGGTGCACAGATCAAATAATATATCAAGAAATTCTCAGTGAGAAGGGTGAGGTCTTTAATGAAAAGTGTCCTCTCTCCCAGAGAAAGTATACTGTAAACCTTACCTGTTGGTTTGTCTGAGCTAAATACAACATTAATGTCGAGGTGTCCGCTCTTCGCATATCATCAGGACAGTCTTTTTCTCAGTGAAAAGCACTGAGAAAATGTCATCCACAGTGCAGTGGAGGTAGTGGACAACCTGTGACAGTATTAATGTGCTTCATTCAAGAGCTAAGCATGTTAACAGACTACAAAAGAACATTTTGAATGTGTGTGTTGTAACTCAATAGCAATTTACAAGGGAGCACTAGAGGCCCATTGTAAAAAAACCTCCTGTAAACTTAAGACATTTTAAGTTCGCCAGTCAAGCAACTATATATTCCTAATGCATAATGGCAAATAATGAATTACACCTTTGAAGGATGAACCATATTGGATTTTTTAAGAAGGCCACGCCATGGGGATACAGTTCTTTGTCTTTCCTAAGCAGATCATTGTACATCTGATCATATGTTGTTTTGAAATCATAAACGTTCGGCTTGTCCGGTGCTGGTCCTGGCAGTTTCACATGAGTCCCTGTTCCAAAGGATCGGACGCTGAATCCTCGTTTGCTGAAAGACAGAGAGGAAGGGGGAGGGAAAAGGCAATTAGACTGGATGGACTTTAAACATCAAGGTGCTGAAGAACACATACTGAATTTTAAAAACTCCTCTTAGCAACCAGACAAATCACAAGCGAACAGTTGGGCAACTCTTATCAACTAAATTGCCAAGTGTACCTGAAGAGCATTATTTCCTCACAGTTACAATCAAAACTCACACACCATTTCTAAAGGAGCGCCTACATTTTACACAGAACTTTCTTGGAATTATGGTACATAGCGCTTTGGACATTTCATTTGTGCTTTCAGGCATCTTGAATTTGCAACAAGCGTGAGTTCTGTATTCACTCTTGGACAATACAGTATAGGCAGAGATGTTTTTGTCTTGATACAACAAAGTAACAATACCAGCTGATCAATACTTGTGTATTCTGGTAAAGCTGCTGGGCTAACTACATTATTCCCCTCACCATGTTGCCAAAACTACCTCTGGTGTAATTTAATTATGCTAGTACAAACATTTGTGTACCTGGCACTTTTCTCCAGTGGGCTGAGAAACATACTGTGTAATTACCTTTACAGAAGTGGGGCATATATTCTGCTGGCTGGTACCTAAAACTCCTGGGTAAGCCAGGGATAGCTTCATTCCATTCTTATGAACAACTACTTGTTTAATAATTATAATTAAAAAAAAAAAAAAGAGGCAGGAACCTGCTTGCCTTCAGTGGTAATGCCAAAACGTTCTTTCTGATTAACCTAAGTACACCTACTTGAACCTCAATAAATCCTTCAGTAATATTAAGAAACACCACAATATATTTGTTGAATAACAGGACTGAAAAGAGGTAGTTTTCTGGTAGTCTAATGGACAAAGTTACATGGTAAAATATTGTTGTTATTGTCCAGAATGCTAAAACATTTGGTTTTATAATGACAATCTAACAGGTCAAGACCACGTCTCATTTTTTTAAGAACTCGTACTTTCAGTTTCAATGATTCAGCAAAGATTGAATAGGGGGGACAACGTTAAAAATAAAAAGCATGCTAACAACCCAACACCACCACTCCCAGCCCCCAAAAACTTAAAAGAAAAAAAAAAATGATGTAATGCCTTCTGAAAAGAGTCAACAGGGAACTGGGAATCAGAGCAAGAGTCACATCTTGATTCCTTGGTCTTCACATCAAAGATAGCAAGGAAATTCAGTAGAAGACGCCTATTCAAATTGCATGTTTGCTTTTAAATGGTGTCTTCAAAGTGATCTGAAAAGCTTCTATGCTGAGACTAGCTGTGACCAAGCTTTGCCCCAAGCTCAAACACTGCCATGCAACTATCAGTAATTTCCTTTAATTTGTCCGACTGCAATATAGCCTCTCCTTTTTCTTCTCTTGCTTCATTACGCTTTTTCTTCCAGCAACCATTTATAGGTTCCTATTTGTGTAAACAGACAGGATACATGCAAATTTTTTGCTTCTTTCTGCAGGACTAATGACTGAAAACAGATACAAGTGGAAAAAAGTGCAATCCTTTCCCCCTCCCAGCGCTCCATCACATTAACAGTGACTCATAACTGCACCAGTTACATTCACTTTATTTTCCCTGCAATACTTCCAAACCCAAGTTTTTATTCCACCACTTCTACTGGACATGAAGAGAGGCCTAACATCTATACAATAAATTGCAGTGCTACATAGAGATGTTTCAAACTGATCTTTTTCCAGGTGAATCACCCTTTTTCTTTCCTTTTATATCTACCACTTGAAGCTATTCTTGCTAAGAATTTTAATACCAACTAACTGAGAAATAATAGACTTTGGCACCTTGCACTTTCTGCCTTCTTTCCTTTTCTTCCATATTACTGCAAAGTGGTAACGTCATAATGAAAAGTATTTTCTTCTATGCTTTCCTCCTAACTTTTAGTTTTTCCTTTAGTATTATTCTTTGAAATAGGTCTACTTGGGTCACACACATTAAGAAGCCCATCTTCAACAATCAGAAATGGCCTTGAAGTTCGCATGATCATATAAAGCAAAACAGAAATCTTCATTTGAAGTTCCACACATCAAAAACTTGTGCCTCTAATGCACGTGACCCATTGAAAATTACTTCCTTGAAGAGCCGGAATACGCGTTTCTCACATGGAATTTCATGCTTTGACACTCGCAGTTGCCAGGGTACACAGCTTTGACACTATTTATGCACCACGTGTACGATTATGAAATATTCTGAAAATGTTTCAACACATTTCTTGCAACAATTTGGGGGTGGAGGAGAGGGAAGAATGCCTGCACAGCAGCATTGTTCAGCAGAGCCTGCTTTTATTAAGCAGCTGGACAGATCTAGTTTAGTGAGTCATTAAGTATCTCTTATAATGTCTTTTAACCATGAGCGTTTTCTACAAGACAATGTGTATCGCAGTATTTGTTCTTGGCCTAGTAAAACTACCCAGAAGATGGAAAATCATGAGCTTTAACTTTACCATAAACAGTAAAGTGTAAGATACAGTAATACCCAGTACACAGATCTCATTTTCAGCAAGTATGCTCACCTCAGTTTAAGTCCAAAGCTCATTACAATGAGATCACACGCACTACTCACACCCATGAGTTTACAGACTCTTGACTGAGGAACTTGAAAACAGTCATTGCATTTCCCTCCAAAGATTCTCAGAGCTCATGGCAAATACTGCTCATCTGGGACACAACTGCTGCTGAAAGCCGGGATCAACATGTGACCACACTAACAAAGCACTAACGCCTGGCAGAGTTGTACCACTCTGTTTTAAGCACTGAGAGGAATAATATTAATGCGTGCAGATCGAGACATGAACTTTTATCCACACCTTTCATTGTTATTTTGGCATCTCACACATGCTTATTACGTAAAGCTATTTTCATCTTCCTGTAAGGTCATACCAGTGACTGTCTTCTCTTCCTACAATGGCCAGTAGGAAGTATCACTAAATACTACAGCAAATGCAACAAATCCTGCAGTACCACTGCAGCTGGGAGTGGTCAAGATTTTCAGTGGACAGATCACTCGTTTTAATACAAGATGTAGCAGGAAAATAATAATCAACAGTGCACTCCTTTAGACCACTTTGAAAATACCTTATACCATTCAATCAATATTTAAAAAAAAAAACCAAACCACTACACACCAAAAAAAAACCCCCAAACCACCTCTCCCACCCCAAACCCAACTGTTGAACAGCAGGAACACAAGCATTGTTAACTAATTTTGATTATGAAATCTTTGAAACATTAACAACTTGTTGTAATTTGTATTATCAGTGATAAGCTGTCAAATGAAAGTGTTTTAATATAAAAATATTAAAACATTTTCTTCTTCTTGTGGTTTTATTAATAGAATTCTAATTCTTCTTAAATTAAGCAATACAAACTTCAGTACCTCACTGCACTTTAGCTGCTGACAGATAATGCCAGCAGAGAAACTGTGACTAGTGACTTACATAAATAGAAGGGTGCAAGCAGACTTACAAAGCAAATGGAAAATGTACTGAACAAAGATAACAGAAACTGGTAGAATGATTGTATCTGTATCCTTACACAGCAAGATACTGCTCTGAATTGGTCAAGCAGCCAGGCTTTGAGCCAATGAAGACATTTACCTGAAGTTTACTGGCAAATGACCACTCTCATGGTGTGGGCTAGTTATTTCTTTAGAGCAGCATCAGCAACTCATCTCTATTTTGCCATTTATGCTATTCTTGCTATAATTACATAGGACATCGCTGAAAATAAATACAGGCATTTTGTTAATTTTTAATCAAAATCTTGAGGGAGAAGAGACCTCCAAAAAACGTATCCCTGACACATTTGTCAGAAGAACATGAGTCACACCGGAAGTGATTTATTTATTTCTTCTGCAAAAACAGAGAGGAAGAAAAAAGCTAGACATTAGAAGTAAATTTAACTTTGTCCTTAGTACTCAGGTTTCAAATAAAACTCAGTTCCAGTATTAACAGCAGGTAAACAACAGAAGAATAGCATCCTCCTCCCCCCAAGCAGCTACTGTAAAATCATGTTTTCACAGAACATCGGATGCCAAGTTTGAGCATTAAGAGCATCATATCCTGCCCACAATAAGATGTCTGCCAGACCAGATGCTTCTATTATTTACTCCCTTCAAGATGTTGGTTTTATTTAAATTAGCACAAAATTTACACACAGTTGTTTAGCTTACTGTGCTAGCAATATCCACCTTTTAATGTGAATGTTACTTTGCATAACTTTAAAAAAAAAATAAATCCCCTTTAACACTCATGCTCCTGCAGTGCATATGGAAGGCTTAGCACTATGATTTCACTCAAATCAGGTCTCTCCTGCCTGTCAGTCCATCCCCAGACTCCCATCTCCCCTTTTGAATCCAGCCAAGCTGAACATGCTTGCAGTGCTAAATGGATGAAACCTCACAATCGCAAAGACATTTAACATTCTGAATTAAACACTTCGTCCAGTTTTCCTGCAACAGAAAAAGGCTCCCTTTCAGTGCACAGGGCGGTTCCCGTCTTCAGAGACATTACAGGGGAAAAAAAAAAAAAAGGAGGGGAGGAATAAGAGGAGCGTTTAAGTTTTCCGATTCTGAGCCACGGGAGCGGTTCTGCACCTGCCGAATTCGCCAGCTCGCG